TGTATCTATAAAATCGCGCCAGCGTTTCACGTGCAGCTCCGAGAGGACTCGCCGAATATCTCAGCTTTCACTTTACTGACGAAGTTATTTATTTAAGTCCCCAAAAGTTACCTAAGTTGTCCTTAGGTATTGCTCCAATCAGGCCTGTTCTAGTGTATTTAGGTCCCACAGAGGATCAGCCTTAAGGTTACGGACTTGCAACGTTAAAATCTAGGGTTTGATTCCCATGGTGGACAGAACTCAGGTGGTATGTTGTGTAGCTTTGCGCTAAAACAAACAGTAAACTGTACCTAGTGTCTTTGGATCGGCAAGTCCAAGGTTTGAGCATCGATATCCCGTTCTCCACTTTCAGCTGAGCGGGCGTTATAAAAGTTGAATTCACCATATCTAAAAATAAAGGGGTGAAACTGTATAATGAATTCAGGAGAAAAACTGAAACTCACGATAAAACGTAGTTAGTGATTGGGTAATAAGTAACATAAATACATACCTTCACAGATAATATCACAAACTTAGAATTCTTTAAAGCCCGTTTAAAAAACCTAACAAAAGATGGATGATTCGAGAAAAAAAGGAAGGATTAACATAAAAATGATCATTAAATTACGAATTTATAGTTCAACTTATGGCTTTCATTCCTGATCGCTGAGCTCTGTGTTTGAGGATAAAGTTAAAGAAGGCATAATACCAATGAATTGATTTGAACTAGTTCCAGATAGATAGATAGATAGATAATAATAGCTTCCGATCAGAAGAATCTACCCTATTTAGAACGAAACTAATAACCGACCTAGTCTTACACTTCAACTTATAAAGATTGGAACGCATTGTTTCATAATTGTTAACGATATTTTCGGTCGTAAACCTAATAACATCTCTCGAGATTCTACCAGCTTAAGAGGTTTAGGTTAGCCTTAAATACAAATTTCAAGCTAACAATACAAAACAATCTTTATAATAAAAGTATAATAATAAACAACAAATGAGAATGAAAAGCATTTACATTCAATTAGTAACTAGTGTAACCAATATTATTTAAGATAAATCGACAGATTCTTAGGCTAGGCTTAAAGTCATTGCGCGATGTTGTATATCAAGAGTAATCTGTTTGCTGATAAGTTCATTTAAAAGTTTGAGCACGTGCTCAGAGAGTGTTGTCTATTAACAATAATGAAATGTCAGAATATATTAGCGCATTCCAACAGGAAACATTCTAACCTGGTAGTTTGTTATACAAACCCGCTAACAATAATTAAATGTCAAACTTATTAGAGCATTTCTAACGGAAATATTCTAACCTGGTAGTTTGTTATACAAAACCGCTAACAATAATTAAATGTTAAACTTATTAGCGCATTTTTAACGGAAACATTCTAACCTGGTAGTTTGTTATACAAAACCGCTAACAATAATGAAATGTTAAACTTATTAGCGCATTTCTAAAAGGAAACATTTCAAAAGTTCACAGTAGCGTGTTAGAAAAACACAACAGTAATGTTAATTAAAATTTTTTCAGCTTTAATTAACACCGAAGATGCACAGTTGCTATAGCTACCCACGCGCTTCTATCTTCCTACCTATGTGTGTGACCCAAGTTCTTATAAATAACGAATAAAAATTACCTAGAACTGATATTTTAACTTAATATATGCATACAGTGTGTTTGGTGAAGTGCATATTTAGAACTTCGTGTCATCAAAGTCACATCAAGGTGAAGCTCATGGTTAGAGCTTTGTGTCATCAAAGTCACATCAAGGTGAAGCTCGTGGTTAGAGCTTCGTGTCACCAAAGTCACATCAAGGTAAAGCTCGTGGTTAGAGTCTCGTGTCATCAAAATCACATCAGGGTGAAGCTCGTGGTTAGAGTCTCGTGTCATCAAAATCACATCAGGATAAAGCTCGTGGTTAGAGTCTCGTGTCATCAAAATCACATCAGGGTGAAGCTCGTGGTTAGAGTCTCGTGTCATCAAAGTCACATCAAGGCGAAGCTCGTGGTTAGAGTCTCGTGTCATCAAAGTCACATCAAGGTGAAGCTCGTGGTTAGAGTCTCGTGTCATCAAAGTCACATCAAGGTGAAGCTCGTGGTTAGAGTCTCGTGTCATCAAAAGTCACATCAAGGATGAAGCTCGTGGTTAGAGTCTCGTGTCATCAAAGTCACATCAAGGTGAAGCTCGTGGTTAGAGCTTCGTGTCATCAAAACCACATCAAGGTGAAGCTCGTGGTTAGAGTCTCGTGTCATCAAAGTCACATCAAGGTGAAGCTCGTGGTTAGAGCTTCGTGTCATTAAAGTCACATCAATTAATTTTGATTCCTCTACGCTTGTATTATTCTTTGTCACGTATGAAGTTATTAATATATGTTAAAAGTTTTTGCGACGGATTGTTTTATTAGAACTCACTGCAATCGTATAATTTTAGCATTTAAGATAAACACCCAAAAAATAGTTTCTAGATATCACTTCAATTGCCATGGATGCCTTGTTGCATGCAGCCGCTTGAAGAAACGAGCCAGGTATTTGAAACAAAATAAACGTTTATGAACACTTGAAGCTAATATTATCCGTTATCAAGTAGAAAATATATCGAAAATTTAATGAAACTGCTAATGCAAACAAGTGGCCTACCTCGATCTTACGTGATACCATACAGCCTTTATGAGGTAAACACCAAAAAAGAAATTATAGCTTGTTCATTTCAGGGAACAGATAGTCTTATGAACGTCTTTCTAGCTGTTTGTTGCTATGGTAACTGCAACTTGTTAAAAACGGCCAATATACATATATATTTATATGAAATTATTTATTTGGAGATGAAAGTTTGGAAAAGTAGCGAGATTTGAAGTTTAATCCGTATTTAATTAGGTATTCTTTGCCGTTACCTTTCTGACAAGACAACACAACGTTCGCTTAAAACTGACAGAACTGACTGCCGTAGGTTTGAATCCTGTCAATATTAAACCACAGTATAAGTGCTTTGCTCATGAGCTCAGAGTTTAGTGTTTGCTTTAATAGCACATACAGAAACAAACAGTTATCTGGCTGTTCATTTTAAATTGTATTTATTTGTTATTAATTGAAAGCTAAAACAAGAATGGCTGTTTTTCTGGCTTAATTTGAATGTGTTAATGAGTTAAAAGATAATTTCGATATTCGATGACGAGGAACCCACTTTGAGACTAATAATAGCTGGAGACGTCTTGAATGGATAATGAAGAAGAACTTTAATATAAGTTTAACATAACAGCAAATGTACAACGTTTCGACAAGGTTTTGTCATCATCAGGTTTTTTTTCTAGGTTGTAGTGATTTGTTACGTCTCCGTTTGTTAATTGATTTTTCCGTAACTTCGTTCCGACGAAATTTTAACAACACAAGTCTTTACTTAATAAAACTGGTTTATTCTTTCCGAATATAGCTTTACCGATACACTCAACTTCAACAATCGCGCTAAACAAACGCTATAACAACGAACGTCAATAATACTTCTGACTGCAGTTCAATTACTCACTATCTACACACACATTACATTACCTTCCCGCGTCACGTTTTCCCCCTCTTATATATACCAGACTACCCTATCTAGTAAATACTAGAGCATTCATGAAAGAACAAGATAGTTCTAGAAACTAGAGGGCGCCACAGTAGTCATGTGACTCACTGACGCAACAGATTGTTTAGATTGTATAGTGATTATTTTAAATTATGCAGTTTGATCTTAAGTAACATCGTTCGAGACCTTCGTCTAAGGTTATATCCAATCTTATTATTTAATATAAAAAAAAATTATTGAAAATCTATTAGAATTCTATACATTTTCGAAATACGTAAGTCTGGAAAACTTTAATAATGCTTCATTTTAAACTTTTATCCTGTTTTCTCATTTGACTCTTCTGTACATATTTACTTGATAGTTTACATTCCAGTTTAACATATTTTACTTTTTACGTCGTTTACGTTTTAAAGGACAATTTTTTAAACGCAAGAATAGAAATATTTTTATTACATTACTTCTAGCTTCTTTACAAATTTCTAGCAAAATATTATAGAAATAAATTCAAATTTGCGAATAACATAAAACTTAGGAGTAACATAACACTAACTTAGGAATAATACAAATCCAAACTTAGAAATAACATGAAATTAACTTAGGAATAACATACATCCAAACTTACGAATAACATAACACTAACTTAGGAATAACATAAAACTAACGTAGAAATAACACAAATCCAAACTTAGAAATAACATGAAATTAACTTAGGAATAACACACATCCAAACTAACGAATAACGTAATACTAACTTAGGAATAACATGAAACTAACGTAGAAATAATACAAATCCAAACTTAGAAATAACATGAAATTAACTTAGGAATAACACACATCCAAACTAACGAATAACGTAATACTAACTTAGGAATAACATGAAACTAACGTAGAAATAATACAAATCCAAACTTAGAAATAACATGAAATTAACTTAGGAATAACACACATCCAAACTAACGAATAACGTAATACTAACTAGGAATAACATAAAACTAACGTAGAAATAACACAAATCCAAACTTAGAAATAACATGAAATTAACTTAGGAATAACACACATCCAAACTAACGAATAACATAACACTAACTTAGGAATAACATAAAGCTTTCATTTTAAACATCGAACGAATTACCTCCATTGTGAGACTTGTTTGTACGTCTGCTAGGACTTTCAACCTGTCGATATGAAAAAACTGACCTCTCGCCTTTAATTAAGATCCAAAGAGCATTAAAAGTCTGAAGAAAAGAAAACGAAAGTGAACCACATAAGGTTTTAACGTAAATCCTATTTCTCAGTTCCAAGTACGTCATACACGTGGCGTTCCCATGGAAACTGACCTCGGGAGGAACGTTCGAATTACAATCAGCGATTAAAAATAAAATAAAGAATAGGTAGTCTTGAAATTATCTTAATGAATAAGAATTATCGAAACCTTGCTATTTCAATCCTACAGTGGCACAGCTACGACAGGAGTGGGACGGGGGGAAGGAGCGGGGGATGCAGAGGAAACGCCAGATGGAAGGCCTGTTGATTGATAGACGCAGCTTTGAAGATCGTAAACGAGACTTGGAAACATGGCTGGATCGGACCGAGACAAAAGTAGAAAGACTGCCCCCTGTTGGTCAAACTTTAGACGTTCTCGAAGTTCAAGTAAAAGAGCAAAAGGTAAATTCTTTTTAACACACACACACAACTTTTATGGAACTTGTTACAAAAACGTTAATATTTTCTGATTTATATTTTTCTTCAAAGAACTCCCATTGGTTGAAAAATAACACGTGATGATTAACCTGTAAAGTCCGACAGTTGTCAGAGGTTAAACTGGTTAACTTTTAATTTTTGTACTACCAGACCACTAAAACCCCATTCGTTATAGTAACTGGTATTTTTGACCATCTTGACCTCTCAATCTGAACCTACGGTTTTCATTTTTAAAAATCTTAACCTCCAGCTTATAGTCAAGTTAACTGTTTCAACTGTCTTGACCTCATGTTTTAAACAAAGATTTTCGCTTTGAACCATTTTAACAGTCATGATCACTATTTTTGAATAAAATTAATCATTTCAACGGTCTTGATCTTTTGCTGTAAATAAGTTGTCCATTTTAAATCATTTTAACTGTATTTACTTCCGTCTCTGTGCTAAGGTAACCATTTTAACTGTCTATACCTCCATCTCTGTGCTAAGGTAACCATAATAACTGTCTTTACCTTCATCTCTGTGCTAAAGTAACCATTTTAACTGTCTTTACCTCCATCTCAGTGCTAAGGTAGCCATTTTAACTGTCTTTAACTCCATCTCATTTCTCCTTCCACCAAACTCCTCTAGGTAACCATGTATCAGCATTTCTCCTTCCACCAAATTCCTCTAGGAAACCATGTATCAGCATTTCTCCTTTCACCAAACTCTTCCAGGTAACCATGTATCAGCATTTCTCCTTTCACTAAACTCCTCTAGGTAACCATGTATCAGCATTTCTCCTTTCACCAAACTCCTCTAGGTAACCATGTATCAGCATTTCTCCTTCCACTAAACTCCTCTAGGTAACCATGTATCAGCATTTCTCCTTCCACCAAACTCCTCTAGGTAACCATGTATCAGCATTTCTCCTTCCACTAAACTCCTCTAGGTAACCATGTATCAGCATTTCTCCTTTCACCAAACTCTTCTAGGTAACCATGTATCAGCATTTCTCTTTCCACCAAACTCTTCTATGTAACCATATATCAGCGTTTCTCCTTTCACCAAACTCTTCTAGGTAACCATGTATCAGCATTTCTCCTTCCACCCAAACTCCTCTAGGTAACCATGTATCAGCATTTCTCCTTCCACCAAACTCCTCTAGGTAACCATGTATCAGCATTTCTCCTTCCACCAAACTCCTCTAGGTAACCATGTATCAGCATTTCTCCTTTCACCAAACTCCTCTAGGTAACCATGTATCAGCATTTCTCCTTTCACCAAACTCTTCTAGGTAACCATGTATCAGCATTTCTCCTTCCACCAAACTCCTCTAGGTAACCATGTATCAGCATTTCTCCTTCCACCAAACTCCTCTAGGTAACCATGTATTAGCATTTCTCCTTCCACCATACTTCATCCAACTTGGGGCGTGATGGTGGGTAAAACAAAATACGTGGCTTAGTTAACTATTGAATGAATATTTGCTGTAAAATTCTTATCAATGCTATAAGTGTAGTTTACCAGTTTGGTCGCCAATTTCGGTTTCATTCCTTTAAGTCGCACACTCAATTCTTTTTTTTTGTCGCACCTTTTTCTCACAGCTGATGTGTATTTGATTAGATTTTATCAGCAGGAAGAGTTCTAATAAAGCTAAGTGTCCTAACACAGCTAATTGTTCTAATGAAGCTAAGTGTTCTAACAAACCTAAGCATCACAATAAAGCTAAGTGTTCTAACAAAGCTAAGTGACCTAACAAAGCTAATTGTTCTAATGAAGCTAAGTGTTCTAACAAACCTAAGCATCACAATAAAGCTAAGTGTTCTAACAAAGCTAAGTGACCTAACAAAGCTAAGTGTTTAACAAAGCTAAGTGTTCTAATAAAGCTATGTGTTCTAACAAAGCTAAGTGACCTAACAAAGCTAAGTGTTCTAATAAAGCTAAGTGTCCTAATAACGCTAAGTGTTCTAACAAAGCTATATGGTATTTTATGAAAGTGTTGAGATAATCTGAAATACATTTAAAACTCAAATGTAAGGAAAATAATGGTTATCACAATGAT